CAATCCTTTTGTCTTCAATTTAATAATGTGTTTGAGTAGAATTTGTTATGTAGCTTTGCCGACATGTCTAGGTGAGTCTTCTAGGTGGGTCTAGGTGGATCCCGCCTTTCTTGTTTTGTCGATTCGTATTAGTCTTGATCTTCTAAGAGAGTGCATCTTTGTTTAGATTTACTCTGTATTTTATTTTACCGTTCTTTTACTCTTTGTAAAATTGTTAGTATTCCGTTTGTTCTGTAACAAGTGACAAGAGAAAAAGTTAGCACAAATTTTTTTCTTACAAAACATGTTAATGAATTTTAAATAGTAATACATAAAGTAAAATATTCTATTAATGTAATCATATTTCTTTTGTTTTTCGGAATGTTAAATCCATAAAGTTATTGCTAAAAAAGTTTATGTACGTACAACGAATAGAACTTTAAAAAAGTCGAAACTAAAACAACAAGTGACATAGGTTCAAATGGGAGTGTAACTATACTCCAGAAAAGAAGATGTGGTAAGTTAAATTTGTGTGGAATTCACTATCATTATGTATAACACAATAACTTATTTTTTTACGCTTATAAACAGAACGATCAATTATTTATTGTAAAAAACACAACAAACTTTAATAAAATCAATACAAAAGTCTCGTTTTGTCTTTTATATTTTTCAGTATTCCGTTCTTTTGATATTAGAAATTTTAATTTTAGAAATTTGGGGTAGTTTTTTGATATTTTCTCTTAGTTTAGTCCTTATCTTATAAAAGTATTTTTAACTGAACGCGTAAACCGCCTTAGCTGGCACTTTCTTTTCTTATCTTTAATAGAAAAAGACGTAAACACGCCTGTACATCCAATGTATTTACAAAATTGCCACCATTGACCTAGACCTATATAAATTCTTCTGACCTCTCCTTCAAGCCGTAAATTCGCAGCTGTTTCCCCCCTTCCTCTGTCAAATTCTCAAAGACGACGAGGTTACAAAACATTCCCTAATCACCATTACGAGTCTCCCCTAAAACCCTAGCCGATCTGCCTTTTCTTCTCAATCTGGTAATCTTTTGATTCCTGCGAATTATTCATCGGGAGAGGATTTGTGTCCTTTGAGGAATCTGATTGAATTCATGGAGATTACTTCTTATCTGAGTGATTGTTTTTTTCAATTGTTCGCTTAAGAATCTGTCGATCTAGGGCTTTTGAGTCATAGTTTCCGTCAACAGCGATTTCTTGTCTTTCTCGGTGTTTCATCGATTATGAGATTCGTGTTTTTAGGTTTCCTGATCTCTAATCAGTAGATCTGATTCACTTTCCTGGATTAAGTAATTTCTCATGTTCTATTTGCCTTTATGGATCATATACAAGAAGAATCTCACCGTTTTTATGTTTTTATATATCGGTCTAGTCCTTGATTTGTGTATTTGATGAGACTTGAGTGTTGTTTTTGTAGTCGATGATGAAACTAGTGTTTGATAATTCCTTTGATTGTTGTTCGTGTTTTATGATTGAGTTCGTTGTAACTAATTTTTTTATTTTCTTACCCTAATTAGTGCAGATTTCTGAATTGGCCTGTTATTGAAGATGGTAGACTCCTCCTTGGATATGACCCTTGATGAAATTGTCAAGAGGAGTAAGACCGCGAGGTCTGCAGCTAAAGGAACATCCCGCCGTGGTCGTGGTCGTGGACCAATTGTAGGAGCTGGGAGAGGAGCTGGACCTGTTCGCAGAGGTCCTCTTGCTGTAAATGCTAGGCAATCAACCTTCACGATAAACAAGGCAAGCTCAAAAATCTGGGATGCTCTTCTATGTGTATGATTGGAAATCTGAGTTTCTGTGACACCAATTACCTTACCAAAGCATACTGAATCATGCTAAAACTAAAGATCAAGGGTCTCTTAATGTTCTTATGCTCTTGGAGAAGCAGGTTTTTGTCATACATGCATAAACTGTTACTTCTGATGATGACACCCTTTTAATCTGGGAGGGTTTTGTATCATGCCTGGAAAAGACGGATTAAACGGATCTTCTAACATCTTGTAGTTTATGGAGATTATTTCTCTTAGAGAAGCTTCTTAGTCCTGCGATTTTGGTGTACTTAGAGAAGCTCTTAGTCCTGCAAGTAGATATAGGGTCATCTGGTCTCATGAAATTTCTATGAAAAGAGTTTTGCTCTGTTGAGCAATACAGCAAACTTGTGCAGTCTTGTGGTGTTTAGGGGGGAATTTCAGCAATTTCACTTAACAGTTAGTATGATGGCTTATCGTGGGGTAATTAAAGTTCATGATGGGCCTCTTGCTACATCTGGATTTTCTTGGAGTGTGATGGCAGTCTCAGTTTTTGATTCTCCAAGGACTTTGTTTTTGGCATCAGACACTGACTGATAGCACCAGTGTGATCATAGGAAGTTGGCCAAAATTGCTTGTTCCCCTCCATTTCATTTGGTTCCTCCTTTGATGGTTCTTGACTACTTCTCCNTGGAGTTCTTTGCTTTGACTGGTTTAGTACTTTCAGACAAATGGGTGGTTTCTCCTCTTTCAAGAAATTTGTTGATTACTGTGGCTTCAAGATTCTGGAGACCCTGTTTAGCTGACTTTATCTGTTCTACTGAACAGCTTGCCCGCAGGAAGAAGAACTTGCCATGGCAGAATGATTTGTTTGAAGAAAGCCTGAGAGCTGTTGGGGTATCAGGAGTGGAAGTCGGAACCACGGTTTATGTTACAAACCTTGATCAGGGAGTGACAAATGAAGACATAAAGGTATAGCCAGATTTCTATGTACCAGTGCTTTGTTGTTTTGGTTCTGTGAGGAGATTTCTTAAAATGGTTTGTACTATCCTATGGGATCTAGGAACTCTTTACTGAGATTGGAGAGCTGAAGCGCTATGCAATTCACTATGACAATAACGGGCGTCCAAATGTAAGTTGTAACTAAGTCTTAACTTTGTTATTCTCTACTGCTCTGGTTTATCTAATTTTTACTCCTGTGCTGTGATATTTGACATCCACTGTTCTGTTTGTTGTACAGGGCTCGGCAGAAGTTGTGTATATGCGAAGAAGTGATGCATTTCAAGCTGTGAAGAGATACAACAATGTGCGGTTGGATGGAAAGTTTATGAAACTAGAGATTATGGGTGGGAATACTGAGGCAGCTCCTGTTTCAGCTCGTGTCAATGTAACAGGATTGAACGGAAGGATGAAGAGGACAGTTTTCATTGGGTATGTTTGCCATTTTCTTGCTTTCTCTATTTACAAGAGAATAGTTGAGCAAAATGTATTAACAGTTCTCTTGATGATCACCAATACATTGAGTAGACTTGCTTACAAGCCGCTTGATTCTTTCAGGAAAGGAATTAGAGGCGGTAGAGGAGGAAGAGGAAGAGGTGCAGCTCCTTCTGTGAGACGCCTTCCAATGTAAGTGTTGAAGAGACTGAGCTCGCTTTCATACAACACAACATGGGCACCACAGATAATGGTTGGGTTTTTATCACATCTTATATCATATCACTTATTCTATTAGTGGCAGCCAAAACAACCAAGGAGGTGTNAGAGGCGGCCGAGGCGGGTTTCGTGGTAGAGGCCGAGGTGGCAGAGGGAATAATAGCGGCCGAGGCGGAAAGAAGCCGGTGGAGAAGTCTGCTGCAGAACTGGACAAGGATCTTGAAAGCTACCATGCAGAAGCTATGAACATCTCTTAAGCAAGCAATACTCCTGGCA